GACATTTTTTATTTTTTTTTGTTCAGCACCCAGCTAAGCTAATGAGAAACAAAACTGATGTTTCATATATGGAGGGAAGGTCCGTAAATCCCCTTTAAATCCCCGGAGCTACATGGTTTGAAATTTGAAGAGAAGAGAGCGGTGAGGAAACGCACGTAGTGCCCTCACACACACAGCCTCGTCATTGGCTGCACGTCAGTGTGGCTCAAGTGTTTCATTGGTGGCAGAACAGGCTACAGTCAGATGAGATCAGCACCACAGTCAGCTGAGCGGATCTCATTCCAAGCCTCTTCAAAAGCTGTGCCGTGCGAACGTGATGGTCCTGGTCCTAGGAGGGCATCATCAGTGAAAAACTTTAATCATAGAGCATCGTTAAGGTATGTATATAGGACTGATGCCTTTAAATATGTCAACATGTGTTCTAAGATAATGACTGGGTGATTTTGCGCATGCTAAGCGTGCGTGCGTCGTCGGGATGGGGGATGCTGAATGCCGGTGGGCTGCTATGGAGATTGACTGATGGAAAGTAACAGGTTTTGGTTCAGAAACACAAAGAATATTATTTTGTCTATTTATCGTTGAAAATATACACCGTGTTACAGAATAGAAGCATTTCTAATTAAGTGTATATGTCGGGAATAATCCACATACCGATACAATTGTCTTATTTGATACTAGTCTGATTATGATATAGTGTAATCATCGAGTAGTCGTGGCTATTATAGCGCTACAATTGTTCAAGTGAGAACATTTATACTTAAGGATAGTATATATATGTGGATATATACCTATGTGGCAGTGCCAGCGCTATTTGGTGGAGGAGAGAGAGAGAGTATAAAATGCCGCTTTTCCACTGCATGGTACGGCTCGGTACGGTTCACTTTTGGGGGGTTTTCCACTGGGTACAGTACCTGGTACCTGGTACTTTTTTTAGTACCATTTCGGTTGGGGTTCCAAGCGAACCGTACCGTTACCAAACCGTGACGTGTAAACTCTGCTGATCACGGATTGGCCGGAGAGAATCGTCACTATCTACGTCACTGAACTTGCGACACAAACACAAAAGAACCGCTAGATTTAAACCAGCACAGCCAGCGAAGAATCGAATGCAACTGTTTTGAACGAGCGCACCTTTTTTTAACAACCAAAAAGTGGCTGTTCCCCCTGTTGAGGAAGTACAGACGTTGCTCTCGTTGAAAGCAGAGGAGCGGATCCAGTGAGAGCTTGATGGGGCGACGCGGAATGAAAAAGTTTTTTAGGAGTCGCGGCAGTAGAGGCGGCGCAACTATAATGACATGTGAATAATGACATGCCCACTCTAAAGCGATACTAAACTGCAGTTGAAACGCAAACCGAGCCGTGCCGTACCGTACTGAGCCGTACCGAGCCGAGTCGTACCACGCAGTGGAAAAGCGCCAAAAGTCACGTTTAGTACGTAGACCAGAGAGCGCCGTGCATCAGATGCTCTTGATGTAAATATTAAGACACAGAATTACATAATAATTAATGTAATTATGAAGTGTACGGATCTTACAGTGACTTACAGGGGAGTCGATTTTATAAAGGTATTTCGACAGGAAATGTTGACTTTTGAACAGTTAACCTATATGATGTAGGCTATTTAAATCTATAATGTTAACTTGTCAGCGTACCATCCTGAAATGAACCAAAATGTTCAATTAGCCTACTGTTACTGTGGTTACACCTCAAGTATATATATATATATATATATATATATGTGTG